AACCCAGGGCCTTCTGGTTACAAGGCGAGCTCGTAGACCATTGAGCCACTGGGACCCAATCCAATGGTTCTTGAAATCTAGATTCTGCCAGTTCACGACATAGCGTGACCACTTCGCAATGTCTTCTTCGATGAGTTACTGGCCCATCCTCGACTTGCTGTACCCTACTGGTCATAGCTTCCGACTAGAACCCCAGGTTAAGTGGCTGAATAGGACCAGTCGCTAGTGAGCATCAGATTAATTTTCAAGAATTGGTTTTGTAGGGATTTTGCGGCTCAATGGTCTACGAGCTAGCCTTGTAACCAGAAGGTCCTGGGTTAGAACCCTGGGGGGTGCGTACTGATGAAGAGTCCCAAAATAGGACGAAACAGCTCTCCAGTACTCCCAGGTTTTCATGAATCCTTATGCTAGGCACTTATTCATTCTAATCCTTATGCAAAGAGCTTGCTGGTTGAGTTCTTGTAATAATGGTATTACTACTCCCTTGAGTTCCAAATGGAACATAGAACTTCAAAAGTATACTAATATTTTGTCCTGTTCTCTGAGGTCCTGTTTAGATGACCCCACGACTGTTCATAAGATATCATCTCCTCCCCTTCCCCATGATCTCCTCCATGTCACCCTCGGACTCATGCCAAACTTGCTGTTTTCCATTCTACTTCCACTTGAGCAGTGGTCTAACGTGTATCGCCATTCGACGATCTCTTCAAAATATGTCTAATCTGTCTTTGTTTCCTTCACCATATTTGTTGAGTAATAGGTTCCTAGTTGGTTTGTTTTCATACTTTCAAGTTGCGAATTCTTTCTGGCCATTTGATCTTCAATATGGAGCCAGCGAATGGGGTAGCTGTTGATAAATGTCTTCAGTAGCCTTTTGGAAATTCTCTTTATGTCGCTGAGGCCAAAGTTTCCCGCCCATATAGAAGAAGTGACTGAGTTAACATTGGTGTTGAAAGTTCGAACTTCCTTGTTTATGCTGGGCGCAACAGATTATTGTAGTTAAATTTACTACTGCTTAGAAAGGTGGTGACTCATCAAAAAGCTGACACCCACAAGAAAGATTCAAATAGACATATAAGGATGGTGGAATGACTCAACTTATAAGCAACATACTTATCTGCTTAGAAACTGAGCTTATAATAATTTCATTTAAATGTTTAAATTCGAAACAATGAAAGTTTCAAAATGACCAGTTTAAATTTTTGTGAATATTCCAAGCTTGTAATATGATTTCAGTTGCCGTATGACTTTGAGTGTATACGATTTTTGGGGACTCTAAATCACAGTGACCTTGACCAACCATCAGATAAGCCCATAGTAAAGATGCGAAATTCTAGATGCAGTAGACGAATTATGTTGCAGATTTCATCCTGATCTAGTATTTCAGAACTGTTTGCTTGTTTTCCTTTATGTTCCCAATGGAACATAAGGCTTCAAACTAGAGGCTTGTAGTTTCGGTAGCAGTGGTGTTTATTTTTACGAAATGGAGTTGCTAGCCTCATGCCCGACCTTACTTCCTTACCAGTATTATTACTGGTGTAGCAACGTAAGGGAGTGCGTCGGCGGTTCAAGATTAAATGGCGAACCGTGTGAGGTGTGTTTGGTGAGCATTCTACCACTGTGCCACCAATGCAAAATAAGCTCATGGGAAGGGGTAAAACATGTAGATGTGGAGGAGTAAAGCAGCAGTAGTAGTTACAGCCAACTGTCATCTCGGGGCTACACTCACAGTGAGCTCAATCACACAGATAGTTTTGTTAATCCTTTCCATGAGACACAAGCATTTAAACAAAAGAGAGTTATGTCAATAAATATGTCTGGATGAATTAATGAACAGAAACTGGTTTGACTTATCGGTAAATACTCCAATACGGAATTGGGATGTTTTCTTGGAGCATACAGGAGAAAGTTACTCCGTATAACTAATTTTAATTTAGATTTCTGTAAAAAAAAAAGTTTAAATTACGCACTTTTACTTTGGAGGCATCCGATTGGCTGGAAAGATTTATCAAGGACATTATGAGAGTCTTTCTTTTCGGTTGCCATAGTTTCCCCACTAAACTGTAACACAGTGTCAAAATAAATAAAACCTGTTAAAAAAAAATAGAACCTCAGCTACTTATATTTAGCTTCAATGATGAAGGTCTCCATGGTGAACGATTCTAAATTTATTGCTAATCACTGTGTTTTTCATACATTTCCCTGATTTAACGACACTAGAAACTTAATCAGGCTGGTGACGATGAAATCCAGTGAAAGAATCCTACGCAGAAGGCGACAATTGTTTCCAAAATCAAACCTCGAAATAAAGAATTATTGTTATTCGCTTGAAAGGGGGTGAATTGTTTGATAATCACATCGGATAAACTTGATTTAGTTTCCCTCGGTAATAAGTTGGATTAGGCGGACGTTTTTCTTGCGTTATCCTGTTTTCTACACAACACTGACCTTAAACATGAAATATGACACTGTTATTTAATTACATTTTTCTTTTGTATTTGCCGTATGTGACCTTACGTCAGTTGAGCAGTCAATAAAAACTTGTTTTTGAGGAAACAAAACTTACTTGAGAATATCTTGAAAACAAGAAGGCAATTTTTACAATTGGTTTCGGAATCTTTGTGTTGGTCTAGTTACGCTAGGCTGAATTGAAAAAGGGTCTCATTTGTTGTGTTGATGTTTTCACTTGTAATACAATTCCACTTCATTTCGCATATTTGAATAAAAAATGTGTAATTTGATAAGGCTATATTTTTGAGTAGATAAAGGTCTGTTTACTTTTATTCCCCCACCCCCAGCTTTCAGTGGTTATTATAATTGTATAGAGTAGGGTGGTCATATGACGTCTGATTTTAACTGTACAACATCATACATATTCTTTATACCGATGTTGAGATACAGCTTAGTCGATCATTAGTAGATCTCTTTAATATTTCAAACCTTCATCAACAGTTGTCTTCGCTCAATACTCAAGATCAGATGGCAGCCAGAAAAGATCAGCAACAGGGAATCTCTGGGAGCGAACCAATCAGGAATTGATTGTGAAACAAATATGCAGGAAGAAATGGATATGGATTTGTCATACTCTGAGGAACCATCAAGTGACATCACTAGACAAGTCCTTGAGTGGTACTCGAAAGGGAAGCGGCGAGTTGGTCGTCAGTGCAAGGGTGACTTGGAGGAGATCATGTGAGGAGGAGATGAAAGCATGTGAACAGACTTGGAGGGGGTGAAAAAGTTGGCAGAAAACAGAAGGCGATGGAGGTGCGCAGCTGAAGCCCTATGTTCCTCTAGGAACTAAAGAATATAATAATAACAATAAATAATATTTCTTTGCAGACAGTCCTTCATCAGGTAAAGTGATAACGTTAGCAGTAGATTCTTAGAAAATCAAGTGTGCTTTATTTTTCAAGAGTTGGTTTGTAGGGATTAAATTTGTCTTGACGAGTGTGGTCACTGATTGATATCAGTTGGAGAACCGTTGAAAACCAGAAGAAGGTACTAGATAGCTTCTTCATCCTAGTTTAGGACTTATCAGCAGTACTTGCCCACTGGGTTTCGAACACACTACCTTCTGATTACAAGGCAAACTGGTATATTATTTAGTCAATGGGACCCTATTCAATGGTCGGCCCATGAATTCTAACGTCTAACAATTCGTGATTTAGTGCGACTACCAACCAATGTCATCAGTGGGAAATCCATCCTATGTTCGAACCCCAGTGGGTGCGTACTGTCGAGGATTCCCAAACTAGGATGTAACAGTTTTCCAGTACTCTTTGGCTTTTAAAGGTTCTCCAACTGATACTAGTCCATAGTTAAACTCTTATAAAGTGTGTTTTATGCGTGGTATCCAACAAATCTTCAATTTTTGATTACAGTTGAATAGCCTCCTCCTTCATCACTGTGGTTCAACGTCTTCAATTCTCTGATAGGAATTCTACCGAGTCAGAAAATGAAAGATTAGGGAACTATAAACCAGCAGTATCTCACAATTTGACTATGTACTCTTAATTCACATTTCAAAATATGACAATCACAGCTTTATGCCAGACGGTATTTATGTAATCTCTAGGATCTTTAACGATCTTCATTGCATGATATTTTCCTTTCCTTCAGAATCTCCGAATAAAATATTAATTGACAGTAAGTTCCTGTGATACAATGCTGTCTGAACTGAAGCGAATTCCAATCTCTTATAATATTCCCCTCTTTACCTCCTTCGAGGAATCCACTATATTTGTTGAAAACCACGTATAAAAGGTTAAGGAGTACATTTTAAGACCGAAGGACATTACTCGGGAACAGTTATCTCATGTATTGGGATACATTGTCACCCATGATCTTGTTTTTTCTCAAATTTAGTAAAAATTGGCAATTCAGCAGGTTATAAACGTTTGACATATTCACTAGGCTAAATAATATGATTAGAGGTCATATTGTAATCGATTGAATCAAAATAAGCAGGAGAAGTTATATGCAACACAATGGTAGTGGGGGTCGTTGGTAGTTCAATTTTCAAGCGGAAATTTCGTAACCATTTTGTTTGACACTCATTTATTTTTATTTTATCTCTTCACATAGGGCTTTAGGCTAGAGCTCGAAGTTTCCATAGCAGTGGTGTTTATTTTTACGGGATGGATTTGCTTGCCTCATGCTCAACCTTCCCACTTTACCAGATTTTCTACCTGCTTAACGAGATTTTGGGAGTGCGTCAGTCGAGGATCAAACCTCGGACCACGTGCATGGTTGACGAGCGCTCCACCACTCAGCCATCGACGCTGAAAGTAGATGACACTCACTTATGATATACATTTTAAATGAGATCTATTAATCTCATACAAATTGATGAGATATTAAGGCCGATGATTCATATTCACCGTATACATTCTGTACAACTTTAAATGTTAGATTTAGTGAAATGTTTAATCGTTTTCCCACGACTTTACTGTTTCAATATCGTCTAAATGTGTGTGCGTCTTGTTTTTATTACATTTCAGTTATCCTTTTGGATACGGACGTTACTGACTGGAATAACTGGACTCGAAATACAGGAAAATATGAAGGAGTAAGTCAGCTGAAAATAATAACATGGTGATTTCTATAATTAACGAAGAGGCTTTTTTCAGCCAATTCATCTTTAGCTGTACAATCACATTTATATATAATTTTTCTTGATAGTAGGTGGTAAAAAAGTGAAGACCTGTCACACTCATACTGTTCACTGTATAGAGGGAGTTGGGTGAGTGCATTAAGGTTACGTAATAACGTGAACAACTCAATGAATGAGTTGTTAACAGAATGCACGTAGTTAGCATGAAAAATATAGAATTACATAAGAGTTCTAAGGAAATACAAGAGTTATAAGGAGTTAGAAAAAAACAAACCAGCGGACAGACAGAAATCAGGTTAGTAAACATCAACAAGATTGTTGCCATGATAGTAGAAGGGGATGATTAATTTTCTTTTGTATGCACTGCTCCGGTTTTTCTATTTTAACACCTTGTCTACAGTCACAATTTCGTCGCAAGAAATGCCTCCTTATTGAAAGTGGTCCTTAAAGTGACGTACAGCATATCAAATGGCCACACAATTTCGTTTTATTCCACAGACATAAGGATGGATAAAAGACTCATCCACTAGTCTAGTCTGACAAAATATTTTCCACTGTTTTAAGATGAAAAACTTTAGTATACAATTGGTGGATGGTGGCTAGCAGTGGAATCCAGGATGCGCATTTCGTCCTATTTGGGACTCGTCAGCTGGATGTACCTGCATTTCTCAGTGAGTGATGATGTTCCCACCGAGGCTCGAACCCAGTGCCCATTGTTTCAAACGCCAAAGCGTTATCCACTAGACCACTTGGGCCACGAGAGCCACCTCTTGTGCAACGGGTCATATTAATTAATTAAGTGGTCTAGTGGATAACGCTTTAGCGTTTGAAACAATGGGCACTGGGTTCGAGCCTTGGTGGGAACATCATCACTCACTGAGAAATGCAGGTACATCCAGTTGACGAGTCCCAAATAGGACGAAATGCGCATCCTGGATTCCACTGCCAGCCACCATCCACCAACTGTATACAAATCGAATCCCCAGACATCGTCGAAGCATCTGCACAAGAAGCCGACATGTCAACCTGAGACCGAGCACTTCGGTCCAATCAATCGACGGGAAAATAAAAAATTCAATTGAATAAACAACTTTAGGTTTGATCACGGATTGACATCAGCAAGAGAACCACTGAAAACCAGCAGAGGGTACTGGGCAGCTGTTTCATCCTAGTTTGGGATTCGTTGGCAGTATCAGCCCACCGGGTTTCTAAACCAAGAGCTTCTAGTTACAATGCAACCTCGTAGACCAATCAGTCACTGGCACCCAAATCAATGGCCAATCCATAACTTTTAACTTCTACCGACTGGTGATTTTAGCGTAACTCCCAGCTTACGTCAATCCAGAATCAAACTTGAAACTAATCGAATCTCTACAAAGTAACCATTGAAAACAACCTTAAGCTAGTATAATATTCTCAATGGCACTTAGAATTAAAGGCATTCATTAAAATCCCTGTGATTAACAACATTCTGCAGCGTCAAACAACATTTATCTGAATATAAAAAAAAATTTAGTTTTGGAATACGTCACTAGTAATATCAACAGGTAGGTCCGTTATAATTTTAGGGATACACTGTAAGCAGTGCATAGTGTTAACTTCAGTTTTTTTCTTTTTTTTTTCTTTTTGAAATTCAATCCAGTCTTTACATTGTTTCTTTCTTTCCAGTGGCGTCAACAGACACACCCAATTTTACAGCGAAAAATTTATGGTGTATGCCAGATAGCCCAAGAGCACAATGATAATTGGTTGTACAGTCCATCAGTTCATATTACTGAAGCAAAAAATATTATTGTAGAGGTTACCTTCACAATAAGAGAATGTAGGGAACATCCAAACTCCGAAGTGTTACGTCATTGTCAAGAGGTGTTAGAACTTCTTTTACGTCAGGATGATGGACTGGTAACCAACGAAAATGATGCCAATAATGTGTTAGTTAAAAAAAGTGTTTTATTAATTTTTGATTTTTTGATGAAGTGTCCTAGGCTTAACTTAACCATCTACAAAAAGACTACGATGGCGGTCAAATGACAGATATAGCAAAGTAAATTGTAAACTGCATAGTTGCCTTTGAGGTTGTCCATTGAGTAAGTCTATGTTGGGTATGTGCATTAAATGAAGTACAGGACCGTAATATGACTGAATGCAGTAAACCATCTTCATATCAAGAAAACCGTTGAATCTCCTTATGAAGAGAGAGAATGAATAATTCAAATATAAACTTCAAATAGTGTTATAACTGTAGGGTATTGAATGAAGACGTTTTCACCTTGCTCTGTCTGCGCCTGAACTAATCTGCCTATCTGCTTGTCGTACCTTCCGATTTAGTAAAGCACGCAAATATCAAAAGACAAAGGCTGGACTGTGACTGTGTATTGAAGTGCAACAACGACAAAGAAAGCCATGGTATTTATACATTTTACAACAATATGGACAGCTAACAGCATTTGAAATAATTTATCTTAATAGCCAATAACAAAGTGCGTGAGAGATGATAATATACCATATGTGCGAGATTTGACAGTCAATAACAAAATGTGTGGGAATGATAATATACCATATATACAAGATTAGCAGTAAATACCAAAATGTGTGAGAATGATAACATACCATATATGCAAGATTAAACAGTCAATACCAAAATATGTGGGATCCTATCAAATAGTAAATCACTTCCTGCAAACTGCCCTATTGCTGATATTGGTGTATTTAACGCAAGTCATTGTCTACAGTTAGCTACTTTGGCAAACAATATAATAGGAATGGGGTAACACATGTGAATGAATTTCTAGAAACAAGGAGTATAGAAAACAGGATACATACTCAAAGCTATTCATATTGGAGACAGTAAGCAATAGGCAATACTGGCAAGCCTTCATTATCATTCTAGAAGAAAATGTTTCCAGAACAAACTTCAGTATGAAATGAAGATGTTCACATTCTGCATCAGTAATGATAATAATAATTCGCCTTATTCTAAAACAGAACTTATGATACAACGTGGAATTCTCAGCATTTGGTACGGTAGTGAAACTAATCCAACAACAGAAACATCATTATAGAAAGTGAATGCAATCAGAATTGATAATATCAACTTTTGGCATTAGCAGTAACATCAAAAGTTAAAAAATATACAAAATGTGTAAAATGATGTTAGTAATAATGAAGTAGAATGCTCGCCGACCACGCCTCACGTGGTTTGGGTTCGATCTCCGGCCGCCGACTGACTCCTTTACCTCACTAACCTAGTAATAAGGCTGAAGAAAGGGGAGGCTGGGCATGGGCCTCTAGCTTGTAGCCCTATGTTCTAATGAGAACACGAAGGAATAAAAAAATAAAAATATGACTCAAATAATACAGTATCAGTTATTCTACATGGAGCCGAAAGTGAGTAGTCTGGCATACAGTGCTAATAGGGTTTATAACCTTTCGTTGTAGGTGTGTTCTCTGAGCTGGATGGTTTATTCGCGAACAGACATACATCAAAATCACCCACCTGAGCTACAAATCTTCCTCATTATATCTAATGTTAATAACTAAAATGAAAGATAATTGAAATACTGTCGCCATTTATTTTACTAATAACATAGAAAGTTATAAATATGATGCTTAATACAATCTCTATCACACAGATCGCTATTCAAATAGGGTATCGTTACATTTTTGTCTACCCCTAGTCCTACGTGATGAAATTCCAGGTTAAGAGAGCTATGAATAGTGAGGGTGTTTACAGCTAGACAATATGGATTTAAACTGTTTCTCATAAGAATTCAGGTGTCTTTTGACTACAACTGCAAGGAGCTGGCATGGTGGTACACCATTTGCCCTAATGACAAACTTTAATACCATTCACAATATTGTTTAATCCTTTTTAAATAACCGAAGGACGACTTAGGGCGGAGGAGCAATAAAGAGCGGTATGTAAGATGAAAGAATTAACGAATTGTAAACGTAGAAGTTTGGTAACACTTCACTGTCTCAGGTTCCTAAAGTAGAGTGTTAGTCATAACATTTTCTCAGAAACAAAAAAATGGGTTGACTAAGATAGATCAGTGGAAACGAACTTTACCTAGATATTTTATGCTGGACTTAGTGCCTATTTCAGTACCCTTTGTGCTAAAAGCATCTTATGAACGAAAACTTTCGGGTAGATCTCTTTTACGCTTGAAAGTGAAGTTAACTGTCTAACATTTTGATGGATTTAAGGTAGAGTAAGACTATTTAGCATGAACCACAGGCCGATAACCGACAAAAAGCTGTTGAGTATGGAATAGGCAACAAAACAGATTACCATCATATTCGAGAGAGTTGATTTACTCCGAAAGAGGCGAGTAATGTGGGAAGAAAGAGAAAAGAAGAGGAGAAAAAAGTAGCTTGAGCGCCTCATTTCCAGTAAGCTAGACATAGGAAGTTTTGTCTTCGTATAATCGCCTCTCTTGATGACCTTGGTCGGGGATGATTGTTGGTTAGCATTAGTAGTCACGGCTGATAGCACTCAAGGTTGTCAGGAGTAATAATAATAATACTTGAAAATCACTGAGATACTCACTTGCGACTGACTCTATTCAGGTAGGCAGTTACCTGGATTCTAGTAAGACATCGTGACCAGTAGGATGCAGCATTTCACATGTCAGAACGAATACTCACAGAAGACATTGGCTACTGGTCGCACCATGTCAAGAATTTGCATAAGTTGGGATTCATGGGCCATTGGATCGAATTACAGTGGCTTAATGGTCTACGAGGTCGCTTTGTAACTAGAAGGTCATGTGTTCGAAACCTGGCGGTGGGTGGGTACTAATGAGGAGTCCCAAACTAGGATGAGGCAGCTGTCCAATACCCCCTGGGGGGTTTCCAATATTTCTCTAGCTGATGTCAGTTCATGATGAAATCCTGTAACCAATCTATCAAATCCCAACAAGCCAATACTTGATATTTATATATCACTTCATACTGAAGTTTGCATTGAAGATGTTGTTTGGAATGACACCAAAAGCCTCAGTGAACACGATTACATCGATATCAACCACCTGAGCTGCAAATCTTCGCTATTATTTCGGGAGCAACACCTACTATTATTATTATTGTATCCTTTAGTTCCTAGAGGAACATAGGGCTTCAGCTGCGCACCTCCATTGCCTTCGGTTTTTGACAATTTTTTCACCCTGCCCAGGTCTGTCCACATGCTTTCATCTCCTCCTCGCATGAGCTCCTCCATGACACCTTGCATTGACGACCTCGCCGCCTCCCTTTCGGGGATAAAATAGTACTAACTGGGAATATAAAAAAGCAGGTGATCATTCTATCGAAGACCACTTTTACTTCGTCTGCAATCATAGTAATCGGGAAGTTCTTAAAGGTTCTCCTTTCCCACAAAAGGAAACCCTAGGACGATTTGGAGAGAGATGAAAGTCCAAAGAAGATTGAGAATAGTGTACTTTAGATTTGCAGTTGACAGAATACTCCTGTTCTTTGTTAGGTGACGATGCATAATATGAAATCTCATTTTGACATAGTGCTAAAGTGTCTATTTCAATTTTTAATCATGATGACTATCAGACATTTACTGAATTGAAAACACGTATAAATAAAGTAATATTAAATGATTAACAGTTTAGGTGTTAATTTGACACTGAGCAATCGTTAGTATTCACTAGCTGATTAAAAATAAGTTCTATTGAGAATGGCTTTGAGTACACTTGTAGAGCATTTAGAGTTTACAAGATGAACACGTAGATGCATTGCCTTTACTCACTAACACATGAAATTAATTCAAGTTCTCTTTCCTATTTTTCAGACAAAACTTATATGCAAAATTGGCTACATTGTCTACTTCGAATAAGAGCCAACACGACCTTTCAACAGAAGGATTTCTTTCCTCTTGGAATGTATCTAATCAAAACACTAACAACAATGCAAATGATTTATCCTCAGAACAAGTTAATGTATACATAACTAGATTTAATGTACAAAATGAAAATATTCAAATAGCTATACGTGATCGTGGATCATGCTCAACTATACGAAGAGTGCGCATAGGCTTTATTGTTTGCCCATTTATTAGAAGAAATTTTGTAGAATACCCTCGAACTGTTACTGGTAGAATAATGGAAGGTCTATCTGTAGATGGACGATGTATCAGTGGTGCAGCCTTGCTTAATCATAGGGAAGTTCCTAAATTGATTTGTCAAACAGATGGATTATGGTATTATGAAGCATTGGTATCGATTGACCCAGCTGGTGAGACAAGCATCAACAGCTTAACAAGAAGCGATTATTTAAATCATTTGGATAGACCGTGTGAATGTATGCCTGGATTTGGTGTATCGAACGAGGACAGATTGACAGATCAGTTGTGTGAACGTAAGTGATTTACGATCAACATTTATTTCTCTTTCGAAACAATAAGTAGTATTTAGCGAAATCGTTATTATTTTACACTTATTATTTAAAGGTGATTCGGTATAACCACACTTACTAACAGTCCATCAAAATTTTGTATTTTCAAGAGCTGCTTTGCGGCATTAGATTTACTTCAGGTTTGACCATAAATTGTTATCAACCTTAAAGGACTACTTAAAGAAGGACTAATAGACAGCAGCACTTACAACGACCTTAAACCAAGGTGTTCCCGTGCACCATTCATGAACGGTCAACCCAAAGTCCACAAAAGTGATGTACCATCGAGACCTATAATATTAATGGTGAAATCACCATGTCATAAACTGGCCAGATGGCTGGCCCAAAAGCTGGAACCCATTCGAAAGAAGCTGGCAACTCATAGTATCAAAGATTCTTTCCAGTTTTCACAAGAATTAGATCAACTCGATATTTCAGATAGACTTCTCGTGTCATACGATGTTTGTTCACTGTTTACCAGCATACCTATCGAAGAAACGGTAAAAATCATATGCCAACAGTCAAAACTGCTTCCCCTTCCGGAAAATGAGCTACGAAAATTCCTACTTCTATGTACAAAGAATATTCGATTCCGATTCAACAATCAGCTGTAGGTAGGTTCACCTCTGAGTCCTATTCTTGCTGACATATCCATGGCTTATCTTGAACAGACTCGAATGAAAGAAGAAATAGAAAGAACCACCTATTACTGCAGATATGTCGACGACACGTTTGTGGTCTGCAAGGATATGAAATACGCGTCCGCGATGTTTGAGAACCTTAATGCAGCTCATCCCAACATTGCATTTACAATTGTCTACGAAAGAAACAACCAATTCCATTTCCTTGACGTCAACATAAAAAGAAGAAACGATGGTACGATTCAAGAATCTGTCTACAGGAAAGAAACCTGGACTGGTCAATGCTTAAATTATCACAGCTTTTGCCCAACCAGCTACAAACGAAGTCTACTAAAAACGCTCTTCAGCAGAGCCAAAGAAATATGCTCGGAAGACACTATTGAAGAAGAACTCGCCGTCATCGAAAAGAACCTCATGGAGAATGGATATCCCCGAAAGTTCATATTAAAGTATAGAAATGAAGAAGCACACAAACCGAAACCTGACACCGTTGAAAAGAAACCAGTTTTCATCTGCCTAGCTTACAAAGGGGAAGACGTATCCACAAGAACACAAAGAAGAATCACAGGTGCATTAAAAAGAACATTTCCAGCCGCCAGACTGATCCTATTTCACAACACTGTGTGCTCGTTAACCCAGTCAAAAGTAGATGAGTACCCTACTCACGTCAACTCCAACTGTATTTACCAATTCACGTGCACTTGCGGAAGTAAGTACATAGGAAGGACTGAGAGGATTTTCTGAGCACATTCCTAAGAGTCTCCGTATAAAAGGAAGAAAAGTGTTATCGAGTGCAATCGCCAGACATTTAATTGACACAGGACACACAGTAAAAATTAACCAAGCCTTCAAAATAATCAATATGCAAAGAAACCCTTGGCTACTTCGTTTCACAGAAGCCATTGCTACCTAGAGACTTCGACCAGACCTCTGTACACAGAAAGATAGTGTGACTAATCTTTCACTACCCTGGTAACCCTAATTCTATTTTATTTTATCTTATTTTATTTTTGTTTTGCCTTTTTGTCAGTATACCTGTGTGTTTGTCTTGTTACAAAATATTCTATTCAATTTTGACCTTCAACTTTCTTAATCTACTTAATTGTCTGTTTAAGTTAAAAAATGTTACTTCACTATTCACCCCTACCCTCTTAAACTCTTCAACACAAAATGTGTAAATTCACTCTGTTCTCTGACCCTGACCCTGTAATATGCCTCTAACCAATCTGCGTTTCCCAATAGTAATCTGAACTCTAAACCCTCTTATCTAATTCCACTACATATAGTTAGTTTTTTCACACTGAATAATCTATCTACCTACAAAAAATTCTGGAATTATGTTCCTTATACCTTCTATTTATAACCTTCAAATAATTATGAAAAAGTATGTTCCAAACTTTTTTTGAAACTTAAAATTTGCTTTTGTTTAGGATGTATGCAGTTGATGAGTATCCACCAAATAAAACGAGCTCGTATTATCCTGCAAACATGTTCGTTTTTTCTCTCTTCAAATTGATATCAGTTAGACGACGATTGAAAGGATGAAGGGGAAAATAAGGATGGGGACGTGGAATGTTCGTACAGTGTACAAAACTGGAAAGGCTACCCAGGTAGCCTCAGAAATGAGAAGATATGGAAAAGAAGTGTTTAGAATCTGCGAGAGCAGATAAAACGGATTTGGAAGGTGCCAACGATCAACTGGAGAGACAGAGACAGAAGGGCGACTTATGACTGCAAGGACTGGCGAGGAATCGTGGTCCTGTCGACGCCAACTAAATTCTGAGTCGCATCATCCTGGAGAGATTAAAGGACGCACTGGAGACAGAACTCCGACCAGAACAAGCTGGATTCAGGAAAGGTAAATCATGTACTGACCAAATTGCAACTCTACGCATCACCATCACAGAACAAAGCATGGAATGGCAATCAAACCTCTACCTCAACTTTATAGACTTCGAGAAGGCCTTCAACAGATAGCGTTGATCGTGAAGTAATTTGGAAATTACTCGAGTGCTACTTCGTACAGTGCCCCAAATATTCATCAACCTTATTCAACAGCTGTACGACAACGGCACATGTCAAGTGCTCCACAACGGAAAACTCAGCGAGGCGTTTGGAGTAAACACAGGAGTCAGACAAGGGTGCTTATTATCTATCACCAGTGATATTCCTAATTGTGGTGGACTCGATCATGCGTCAGACAGTGGGAAATGAGAAGACATGGATATCCTGGACCGACGTGAAGAACCTAGAAGACCTGGATTTCGCGTGTGGATGATTTATGTTTGATGTCATGCGAAATTGAAGACTTACAAGCGAAACCCGACCGATAAACTGGTCGAAGAATCAGCAGGCGAAGACAGGACTCCAGGTGAACATAGACAAGACGGAGGTTATGAAAATAACCAACCAACAACAACAGCGGTAACATCCAGAGCTAACGGGAGGGATTTGAAAGAGCTTATTTAATTCCCTTATCTAGGGGGCATTGTTTCAACTACAGCCAGTCGGAACGGACGACGATGTCAAATCGAGCGAGAATCGGGAATGCAGGTGAGAAACACATTCATCAACCTGAAACAACCAATCTGGAAATCTTCGTCACTCAGCCAGCATCTACAACAAAATTCAGTCGGATTTTCAATACAAACATCAAGTCAGTCAGTTCTTCTATACGGATGAGAAACTTGGCGGCGGATCACAAAGAATATTTCCAACAGGCTATTGCAGACCTTCATCATCAACAACTGTCTTTGCTCTGTACTCGAGTTCAGATGGCCGTGCCGGAAAGAATCACCAACCAGAAAGAAACTATGGGAACAAACGAAACAAGAACCAATCGCCAACCAACAAATATGCAAGAAAAAGTGGAGATGGATTTGACACTCGCTGAGGAGGCCGGTTGGTGACATCGCGCGTCAGGCCATCGCTCGATTGGAACCCAAAATGGAAGCGGCGAGTGGGACATCAGTGCAAGGGTGACATGGAGGAGATCGTGGGAAGAGGAGTTGAAACAGTATGGACTCAGATGGATGCAGGTGACAAGTACAGCAGAAAGAAGACAGAAGCAAGTGAAGACGTGCAGCTGAAGCCCTATGTTCCAGTAGGAACCCAAGGGAACAATAATAATGTCTAATAGAGGACGATTGAAAACCATGGAGTACTGAACGGCCGTTCTTCATTGGCATTACGCACCCACTAGTATTTGGAGCCAGAACCTTCAGTTTGCATAAGCAGCTGGTAGACAACTCAACCACTGGGACTCAAAGCAATGACTGTCAAAGTACTCCCTGGTTTTTAGTCGCTACCTAACTAACATTAATTCGTGAAAATAGCCTGATGCTAGCTAGTCCGTAACTGGTCACAGACTTTTTTTGAGAAGTAGTGACTATTGGGGTCCATCCGGTTGCGAATGAGCGTATATACTCACTAATGATATTGGCTAGTGGTCGCACTAGAACCACATGTTAGCAGAAGTTGGAATTCAAGGACTCACCATTGAGACAGATCTCAGTGGCTGCATGGTTTACAAGCTCCTCTTGTAACCAGAGAATGTGGGCTTAAGTCCAGGTAGGTGAGTACTGCGGACAAGTCCAAAGCACTGGGACAAAGTAACTGTCCACTACTCTCTGGTTTCCAGTAGTTCTCCAGCTGATGTCAATTCGTCATCAAACGTGAAATATTCTAATGGTTTATTACTCTGATGTTCTTCATTTTCTTCTGGGAAACATAACAACGTTATAAAGCGCAAGTATCAAGAATCAGAATTGCAGACGAAAATGTTTAATGAGTGAATTAAACATGTACTATAAACTCTTACCTTTATACGGCCGTATCCAGCGTTTGCTTTTCAAACGTATCACCGAACACTTACCAACATGGTTTTACAAAGGAGAAAATCGATGCCCCCGCAGCTCCATCTTGGAAGATCTGATAGAATCCGGGTACCAAGCTACACCGCAAACAAACTTCAAAGTCGTCTACAGAATACGGAGTAGTCTTCCTAAAAGTGCACGAATCAGACTTCTTCAAACTGCAGAAGCAATGACGATTCACTTACTAAGTCCTGAACTCTGCATACAGAAGAAGTTTGTTCAATCACTACACTTGCGATGGACGTAATCTATCTTATTACCAGACAAGTTAATTCTACCTCATTTTTTTGTTGCCTTTTTCCGTCTCTTCATTAACATTATTTTGTCTTCTCAATTGTAATAGTTTACATTTTCAGCTTTCTTGTTCTCTACTCCCACCCGATTTAATTTCTACACCTCACCACCACTGTTACTGACTTGACCAACTCTCAATTTCAGTTCTAATTTAAATGACATTATTGTCTACCCCACTTATACTTAGTCTCTACCTGTAATAACATCTTTTGCTACTCTGACCTGAGTTGAAACATTTAGTCAATTATATTACGTCATCTAACTTACTAACTCAGTCTTACTTTAGTTGCTGTCTGATTAACCTTGTTTGTATATTCGATCATTCTTGTATTACTTGATCAATTATTATCTAAACATGACTAACCTCATGTACACACACAAATAATTTTATATAAATGCGATTGTACAGCTATGTGAATGAATCACCGAAAAGAGTCTGTTCGCTGAACGTCTTCTCTTTTTCATATGACCAAAAAACTTATTCAGTGATGTTTATTTTTATTTTGTCTATTAAGCCTGTGGACTGTATCACTACAAATCAACCTTTGGACCATTTCCATGTCAACGTTGTCCATTGAATTCACACAATCCTTTTCATACTCTATCAGGACGTAGTACACATGGCCTTAATTATTTAAAGTATGGCTCTCCAGTATTGAAATACAATGGCTCATTTCAGCACGAGGTTGACAATTGTGTATGCGATGCTGGTTATTATCGTCATCCGGTGTTGGACAGACCTGATTCACCGTGTACAAGTGAGTCCCTACTGTAAAAAGAATTTTTAACAGTTTATAAGAAAGGGTTTAAGACAATTATTGTATCTGGTATAAGCTGTCTTAGTGTCACATTGAATAAGATATTGATTTTTAAAAAATTTATCCTTCTGATTGGTCTTAGTAAATATACATTATAGAAGAATGCTTAATTTCTAGATTTACAGGAATGACTCTCTGAATAGACACTCAGACTGAAGATCAACACTTTTCTCGAAACTATTAGTCTATGAAAATATGTGAATACCTTTAATCCGCACATATAATACAGTGTTACAACTAAATTCTTTTATGGAGTTTCCTTTTGTTGCAAAGTGTGGTATGATCCCCTTTACCTGGTTAAAATCCACAGCTTTTCTAGCATACGTTGGCGTGGGCGTAATAGACTAGTTACACTAAACACATGAAGCACTTGTTCTTGTGGGTTCTGGTGGAACGCAAAGCTTCATCAGCATGTATCCATTTCATCCTGTTTCCAAAATTCTTCTTTAGCTGGCCCGATGATCATTCTTAGGCTTTCACGTCCTCCATGTAACACTCGAACTCTTACTCACTTCATCGGTCCAATTCGGGTTACATTGGAGTGATGGCCTGGAGCTCGGTGTCAGCCAACAGTCTCGTCAGTGTCTATCCCATCAATCTCCATCTTTGTCACCATATTTGTTCAACAAAAAGGCACTTGGTTAGTTCGTTACCACAATTTCTTGTTGCCATTTCTCTGTACCTCGCCATTTCATCTTCAGTATGAAACGAAGACAGTTACTGATAATCGTCTACAGTAACCGTTAGAAATGCTTTTGGTGACTTGCATGCCTAGTTTACAACCCATATGGAAGAAGTGAATGACTTGACATTGGTGTTGGAAATCCGCAGTTTGTTATTTAAGCTGAGTGCAGATAATTTGGATGATGAATGGCTATCTTGCAAATCTGCTTTGATATCCTCCTGTATTCCATCTGGTTTCACTAGAAATGATTCTGCCGGTCAGATAAGTGAAGAAAGTGACCTCTATCACATTTTTCGTTGATAGCGTTCGTTGGATGTTGTAGATGTTTAGTCATCTTCACCACCTTCCTTTTCTTTATATCCACTTGAAGACCTGTATTTACTGCCAGCCTCTTTTGCTAAGTCGTCAGTTTTTACCTGTAGATATTAGAGTTTGTCTGACATTGGACACAAATCCTCCGCGAAGGCCAGATCTTTTATAAACTTCTTGTCACTCCCCACGTACGGTGTTCCACATAACCCAGTTCACTACAATTAGGAATATCGTCAGTGATGTTAGGAAGACTCCTGCACTCAATTCATAAGGTGTCAATGAGTTCTCCATCGCGGATTTTTTGAAATATAAGATTGTCATATATCTGCTTCACCGTCAGCATTTTCGAAGGCCTTTTCAAAGTGGATCAAGTTGAAGTAGAGGTTTGACTGCCATCCTGTGCTCCATCTGATGATGACGCCGATGATTCATAAGGGTATTACTCGACCGGCACATAATTTGCTTTTCTCGTGTCAGCTTGTTTCAGCCAGATATCTGCATCCAGATCTTCTTCTAGTCCCACCAGAATGAAGCAACTTGATGTTTTGCCTGGCGTTTTTACGTAAAGATATATATATATATGCATAGATTTTGTCTTCCTTTCTAGGGATTTTTGGTATTAAATATCATATTTATTGAGAAGAGACCATCGTTTTTATTCTCAATGATCCAATCAAATTAATTAGGCAACCACTAAGATTTATAATTAGGAACTGGAAACCTCACTGGTATCTTATTCAGTTTCTATTAGATAACTGGGTACACCACATAGTGAATTATTATTCAGAGCTGAACGAAATTAAAAGACACATTCAGCGAAGGAGATTTTCTTTATCGACGAAATCATCTTCAGAGTCTGTACAGTCGTATTTATACTTACAAAAGTATATAGTGGTCTATTATTGAGTAATAGGAGGTGACATAATTGATATTATTACTCGGAAGTGGATTTAGAAGTGAAAATTAAAAGTTGTAAGTTACGTGGTAGTCAATGGCACAAAGATAGAAATTTGATAAGCTTAAAATTGCTATTCAGTGAGAATAAAGGTATTTGATTATCAGTTTAAAAAGTGTGAAGAGGGTTTGAAATGTACAGAAGGAGCATATGGGAGTGATAATAGGGAATTAATTATTAAAGGAAAAGCAAACTAAAAGTAAAATTAAAAATTAAAGAAAGTAAAGAAAAAAATGTTTTTAAAGGAAACGACTAGTGAAGAGGTTAAGACCAAGGTAGAATAAGAGACTGGACAAACTTTTCCTGCACACAGATTTCGGGGTTGTATTGACGAATCACCAGTGCCTACACCGTGCAAAAAAGCCGAAACCTGACGCCCTTTGTACCATTTGGCCTCACCTTGTAGATGATCTTGAACGACGACTCTTGTGAAGCTACGTGACCTGAGTTCACCAAATGCTGGAGAATTGAGCTAGTCAGATACTGTTCAGAGATGCGTTTGAAAGGGGACGCTTTGTTTGACCAATATTACTAGCTCCACACGAGCAGGTGAATTTATAAACACACACTTAGGTGGCCCAAGGTGGCAGTTTATCCTTCACACATCCATTGATCATTTGTCGGCTGTAGAAATTGATGCGTAACTCGACTGTAAAGAAGGCTTTCTTCAGTGATCTGCATAAGCAATTCTTCAGGATCTCAGCTGCGGTATCACTTTTAAATTCAACACTCATAAATAGCGGTTTCTTCGGCACCGTCTGGATTCTTTCAGACTTTTCCCTTAACTTCATGTTTTTCTCGATAAATCTTGGAGGATATCCATTCTCTATGTGAACTTATCTGAGTCGGCCCAGTCTTCCCATTGATTATATCACTGGAACACACCCTCCTTATTCTTGAGGATAAAGAGTGGACCAGGTTTCTCTTTCTTCTCAAATGGACCCAACTATGGAAATTTGTGTATTGACCATCCATGTGGGTTTTCTGTAGATCGATCTTTGAAGAGAACCATCAAATCTCCTTTTCAGAAAAAAACATCAAAAAAATGAAATTTCGGGTTAATGTCTGATTTCGACGTGAACTGGATGGCATAATGGCAGCTGTTGAACGTTTTAGTTATCAATGCGATGTCGGCATTCTCGTCAAATATGATGAAAGTATCATCGATTTATCTTTGGTACAAAACGGAAACTGTCGATAGTAGGCCGTAAAATACTATTCTGCAAGCTAACCAAGATGCAGTCTGCAAGTAAAGGACCCAATGGTGACCCCATTGTCACTCCATCTCTTTGTCCATAAATCGTGTTGTTGAACTTGAACTGGACATTTAGAGTGCACCTTAAAAGTATTTCCTTTAAGTAGTGGATCGTAACACACACCTCAACATCATCATCCTCAATGAATTTGCATAAAAGGCAAATAGTTTCAATCAGGGGAACGTTGGTGAAAAGGGAAGTGACACCCATGAATATCATTTTCTTCACTGATACACTAGCATCACTTATTGAATAGACGAATTCAAATGAATCAGAAACACTATACTTGCACAGGTTATTTCTGATAGGTAGGAGGATATCTGTGAACCATTTCGCAGTAGTATGATATGGGGAATTTGTTATGTCTAAGATTGGACGTAGTGGCACGTTCTCTTTGTGCACTTTCGGCAGACAATATAAACGTGGAATCACGAAACGAAATTTTAGACATGATATGTTGTTCACGCTAACGTCCTGTTGATGCGGTGTGAACTATGTTTATATTTCTGAAATATCATCTTATGCATGAAGTTAGCAAACCAACGTCTATTAAATTTCAAAAACAGCTAAACTTCTAGTGTCATTTACTAAACAAACAGTTGTGAGTACACATGAGTGAATCTTATCTAGTGAGTTATTAAAACTTAGAATCAAACCCAACGTAGATGCAGTTGAACTTTTGTGGTTAAACAGTTTTATCTAACGTTTTCTTTTTTCAGCCAATAGTTTATGTCCTCTTCTTGTTCCTACAAACCCAAAAATCAGTAAGCGCAATTCACCAGTCTGCGAAGACACTGTTCTTCTTAGTCGAAATTTTATCACTACTCTTATCCTCACTTTTAGGCATTTATTTGTTCAGTTAAACTCACACACGTACACAATTGCGCGCTAAATTGTTCAAAATTAAACAAACACTAATTTTTTCCACTTGCTTGTTTGTTTGTTTGTCTAGAATGAATTAAATTTCACTAAAAATATAAAAGCAAATGATTCGTTTAAACTAGGTAGTTTTATTTGTCTTTAAAAGAGTTAAATGTTTTCATTCAAAGAAATCGAGCATTTCAGCTGTGGTTTTCAAAAAGGAGTTTACCAAAATGAAGGAATAAAAAGGCTTAAAGTTTACTTACTGTTTGTTGAATAGTCAAGAGCTTTATTGTTTTGTTTTGTTTTCAAAATTCATTTTGTTTTAAAACGTCTATCTGATCACGAAAGTAGTTTATCTACTTAGGTTGGTTAACAAGAAAAGAGTAATTTTAACCAATGCGAAGAGGTGGACACAGTCGCTTCCAAGAGTTGATTTGTTAGAATTAGATTTGTCTATCGAGTTTGACCGCGAACTGTTATCCGTTAGTGAACCATTGAAAACAATACGGGAGTACTGGACAGCTGTTTCATCCTAGTTTGGGATAGATTTCCTACCGATTACATTGGATCTTGGTCGCGCTAAAATCACAAGTTAATAGAAGTAAGAATTCTTGGGCTGGTGATTGAATCGCGTCCCACTGACTGAATGGTACACGAGCTTGCCTTGTAACCGGAAGGTCCTGGATTCGAAACCTAGTGGGTGTATTGCCGATGATTCCCAAACTAGGATGAAACGGCTGTCTAGTACCTTCTTCTGGTTTTTAGTAGTTCTCTTGTACCAACAGAAGACAAAGGCCAGGCAACAGATCGTTTATTACGGAAATCAGCACGTATTTATATATATTTCATGTACATTATTATAGCTTAT